GACACATATCATCGGCGAAGTCCAGATCCTCCAAGTTTTTTGTGTGTCCATTTTATGCCTGTTTCCTCATTGCCCACTGTTTGTCGCATTATCCAGTCTACTGCAATCAAGAAAATCATTGGCGATAGTAGACAGCCTTGTCTTACTCCTGTTCTCACTTCGAAGGGTTCCGTAAGTTTCCCGTTGTGGATTACTTGGAATGCAGCATTGTCGTATAGCTGTTGGATGAGATGTATAATTGTCAGTGGCACCCCGTAGTAGAGAAATAGTTTCCAAATCACCTTTCGATCGATGCTGTCAAAGGCCTTTTCAAAGTCGATGAAGTTGAGATAGAGAGATGACTGCCATTGCAGGCTTTGTTCAATGATGATCCGTAATGTGGCGAGCTGATCAATACATGACTTGTTTCTCCTGAATCCAGCCTGTTCCGGTCGAAGTTTTTCACCCAATTCGGTGCATTTGATTCTCTCTAGGATGATGCGGCTTAGTATTTTGCTTGGGATGGACAGGAGCATAATTCCGCGCCAGTTCTTGCATTGACTTAAGTCTCCTTTCTTTGGTAGTTTGAATACGTATCCCTTCTTCCAATCTTCAGGTACTTTGCCTTCTTTCCACACCTTCTCCAGTAGTGGCGTCATCAAGTCCACTATTGTCTCTGGGTCCATTTTCCATGCTTCTGCTGGGATTCCATCTGGTCCTGCTGCTTTTCCAGCTTTTAGCATCTTGATTGCCTTCAGGACTTCTGATTTCGTCGGGGGGTTGGTGTTCACTGGTAGCTCTGTCTCCGTTGTTGGTATTGTTGGGCGCGTTGTCGGTGGTGGTCGATTTAGGAGTCTTTTGAAGTGTTCAGCCCAGTGTTTTCTTTGCTCCACTTCTTTGGTGAGTGACTTTTCATTGGCATCCTTCACTGGCTTAATTTGTGTTGAACTTTTGCCCAAAAGGTACCTAGTAGTTTGGTAGAGTGTTGCGAGGTCTCCTCTGCCTGCAGTTTGTTCTGCTTCACTTGCCATTTTTTTAATTCCTTCGCGTTCCCAGTGGAACGTAGGGCTTCAAGCTAGAGGCTTGAAGTTTCTGTAGCAGTGTTTATTTTTACAGGATGGGATTGCTAGCCCCATGTCCAACCTTTCCTCTTCACCAGCTTTTTAGTTCTGGCTTAGCGAGGTAAAAGAGTGCGCCGGCCGGGGATCGAACCCCGGACCATGTGCATGGTCGGCGTCCTAACCGCTATGCCACCGACGCACTTGCCATGGCTACATAATATTTTCTTTTGAATTCCCTGGCACTCTTCTTTACTCTTTTTTTCAGTGTATTGTAGCCTGCATTCAACTCCTGTTTATGTTGCTCGTCGATGCACTGGATAAGTTTTGTTCCACCATCCTTCTCTCTTCTATTAGTCTGCAAGTTTCCGTAGTCAGCCACTGTTTGTCCTGTCACTTTTTTCTACCTAGAACTTCCATGCAGGTTTGATTCCACACCGCTTTCAGGTTGTCTCAGTGCTTTTCAACGCTGACCTCTTCGCTATTGTTTACTTGTGTCTCGGCTTTTTACCTTATGCTTGCAGTGAAGATGTCCTTTTTATCCTGGTCTTTCAGTTTTTGAGTGTTGAACTTGGCTTGTGGTCTATCTGCAGCTCCTGTTTCTCTGAAAGCTTCTTATTTGATTTGGATTGTCCCTTGTACGAGGTAGTGGTCTGAACCAATGTCTGCTCCTTTCCTTACTTTTGTGTCCAGTGGGCTGCGCCTCCACTTCCTTGAAATTGAGATGAAGTCAATTTGGTTTTTGGTTCGCCCATCTGGTGACACCCATGTAGCCTTGTGGATATCCTTGTTTTTGTATACGCTGCCACCAATCACTAGTTCATTGAAGGCGCAGAAGTCAGCGAAGAGTTCTCCATTTTCATTCATTTCTTCAAGAGAATCCCTACCCATGATGAGTTCCCTTCCTGTGTTGTCTGGTGCCAGTTTGGCGTTCATGTCTCCCATAAGTATTTTAATGTCACCAGTTGGATTATTGTCCATTGTTGCCTGTAGTTGTCTGTAGAATTCTTCTTTCTTTTCGAGTTCTGCGTTGTTTGTCGGTGCATAGCATTGTATAACTGACACTTTCCTTCCTTTGGAGTTGAATCTGGCGGTTATTATCCTGGGTGAGATAGCCTCCCATTGCATCAGGGCCTTCGTTGCCGTTGGTGCTGTCTAGGATATGTTGGAGTAGAAACTGATAAGAACAGTATCAGTGTCTGCCAAGGAGAAAGAGGTATCCCAGTCTTGGGAACTAATAAAACACAGTGGGGTTTCCCACTTGGCATTTGAAAAGTCCCTGAATTTTACTGTGCGGTGATGGCTTTTAGCTGACCCGCTTGCTGCTAGGTTGAAGGTAGAAACGACCGTGTTGTGGTCGCTACCAGAGAATAAACGCCAAACTCGAGTGCTGACGGGAAGAATGTCGTGTGTGAAAATAAGATCCAGGATGTTGGATTTACGTGTAGGGTGACTGACATTTAGTGTCCAGACATAGAATTCAACCGTATTTTTAAAATGATCGGGGTATGTAGGAGCATTTGGGCTATTCCAGTGAATACCAGGCATGCTAAAGTCGTCAGCTATAATTTTGTAGTCAGAATTTATAGAAGAGACATGTTCAACAATTTCACATAAATGGTTTGTCGGGTTAGTATCAGAATTGGGCGGGTTTTATATACATCCCAATAAAAGCCTTGTATTCAACTAAGTGTCCAGTGTAACCTGTATTCAATCTATCAGTGAGCAACCCAGATCATCAAATTCTACAGCCAAGAATTTGTTACTAACAAAAAGGACAACCATCACCACGTCTTTCTTCTCTGCCATGTCTAAAGTGTGTGTATCCTGGAAGTTTTAACAGTCTCTCATTGAATTCAAAGAGTAACCAGGTCTCGGTAACTAACAGTACTGAAGGCACACAAAGTAAAGGCATAGAGTGAAGGTACGAAATTTTATTGCAGAGACAACTAGCGCTTTTAAGGAAAAGAGTAAAAGATCTTTGATTAGTAGTAAGGGTTGAGGTAGAAGGAAGGAGATGATGGTGTGATTTTGTTAAGTTTAAATGGCAATTAATATTAGATGACAACCTGACCGGTACATAGAGTGTTCAGTGCGTTAAGCTTTCATCGTTTTCGTTAAACTTCTGCGAAAAATAAGAGGGTATTCATGGCTGATCACTCAGTTCATCAGAGCATGGAGATAGACTAAGGTATCCTGGTTGTCTGTAGAGGGCAGATTTGAGGGCAAGGAAATACATTGCTCGACATTAGGTCGATTGGTAGCACTACTGTTGGGTACGAAAAAGCAAAAAATTGTGAGGAGTTTGACTAGTTGGAGCGTTATAATGATGGTTTCGGTGTTGGAGGAGTATGTTTATGGAGAAGCAGCATTTATTGGGTGGATCTCCAAACAGGCTGTACTGAAGGATTAGGCAACTTACTCTGTTTGGCTGCGTGCCTGTATTATGCGCATAATTAAAGAGGGTATTACTCCTCCTCAAAGTAAAAGTTGGGTGGCTGCAACAAGTTGTATTAAAATGGTGAGGATAAGGGAAGGAGATAGGTTGACTAATCTCAGTTATGTTTGTTACCTTAGACGTCCTTTGAGCAGATTTAAGCGCATGAGAAGTAGAGGGCGTTGAATTAGACTTAATAGAGTGTATGCCATACACAGAAATTCTGTTGCTTGCAGTTTTACACAGAATCTTAGAGTTAGATGGGAAGGTAATATAACGGTTCTCGATACTTTTAGTAGGGCGGGTATGATTTTTATTGGTACCTGTTGCAGCAGGTGAGTGCTTTTTGGGTTGTATGACAACTAGAGAAATACTCGATTTAGCATTGGTAACCGTATCAAGCTTCATTTTATGGTAACCAGGTGGAGGGCTTCTTTTGAAGTTAAAGGTGGTGGGGCTTGATATATCTGATTTCATATGCTGAAATACCTTGTTTGGCATGGCGTTGGATTGGTGTCCCGTCGTGAATAATACGTATACTTTTAAAACTGCTTACTCTTCTAAAATGGTGCTGGTCACCGACAAAGTGGCTTGCATACACAATGCTAGTAAATTTGAACATTAATTGACAGAATGTATCAGATGAGTTTTAAGTTAATTTTTTGTAGATGGGAATCTGGTATTTAACATGCCTTTAAAATTGTTTCTCAATGTTTTCATGTTGGCACTGTTGGGCACATTGAAAATGACTGCATTATGCATGCATTGAACACGCTTTAACAATTCCATAGAAATATGATCAATAATTCTCCCACAAGACTGTATCGTGTACCAATTTCATTTCTTCGCACTTCCTTAGCTGTGCAGAATGTGTTTCAATTATTGCACTCCATCAACATATCTGATTTCACCATAAGGACGCCAAGGCATATTTCAAGTGTGTATATATTCTACAGTTTAGAGTTTCAGTGAATATACTGCATAATCTGACATTCTGTTTGTGTAGTGATCTTTTCAGGTAAATAAACTTATTTTCAAGACTCTATTCCTAATTTCTTCATCTCAGTGATTTTTAGTTAGTCTAACTTACTGCTCAGATTATCACGCCACAAATATAGTTGGATACAAGTTCATTGAGGCGACAGTCACCATTCATTGTTAACAGATGAGAAAACTTTAGAGGTTTTGTTAATATCAAATATTCTTTTCGTTATGAAGATGATTCTCTTTACCTAATGTGGTATTATTCTGTGTGTAGGAGTCTGATTAGTAATAATTCATTACACGATATTGAGTTTATGCATATGTTGTCTGGGTGAACTTGATTTGAAAGGAATGATATCCATTGAAAAAATCGGATCATCTCACAATTCACAGATATCTGCTGATAGCATGATTTTCTGTAAGATGCATCTTACGACAAATTTCAGTATGCGAAATCTGCGACAAAAGACTCAGTTAATTAGGGCACATATAAATACGGATATATAAAAAGGTATCGCTTCACAGAGTGGCGTATCTCCACTATGTTACTGGAAGTTCAAGTCAAATGGTACCTATTAGCTTTCATATCAGGTAAGATTTCGTGCAAATTTCGAAATGAATTCTTTCAAAAAACACATGGGTTCAAGGTAAACATAAATTATGAGAAAAATTTTATAACAGATTGAAAGTGGTGTGTATGGATTATCCAAAGAATATATTTGAATTTCACCCCTAAACGAGTATTTCAAATTAGGTATTGGTTATTAGGATGGTTCTGTACTGTATTTTTCCTTGTGAATTTTGATATTCCGAAGCACATTTATACCCGTAAACTAATATCTGAGTTTTATACTCGGATGTGGCGAAAGACAGTATTAACACTTCCAGATAAGCATTAACCTCAACTGCCTGCTTCGACTGACTCCTGGGTGTGTAAGTTTAGACGCCTCATAGTTTCTTCTCTGAGGTGGTTGCAGACAATCGGTTGTAAGCTTTGCACCTAGATGTCACATTGCATCTGAATACATCGATTACTGTCTTAGAGGATGTCAATCGTGAGCCCGAATTGCTGATTGGTAAGGTGTTTGACTGTGGAATGGGCTACTGACGCGAGCTCAAGCCTCAAATGAGACATGAATTGTATCTAGGGAGTGAGATTCGCCTTGCTGTAGAGTTCCAACGCATATTGACAACTTGAATGATTGAGTTCAATTGAGAATAAACACAAGCACTAGACACACGATATCGGTCACTTCCCAGACGATGAAATAGTTGAGAACGGACTGCAATGAAAGCTGACCAATAACGGTCGTCTTGTTTGAAATGGCTATCCAGTTGCATTTGATTCATTATCCTATATGCTTTGTGGTGACATTTCAAGAATTATTTTCGATGGAAATTAGAAACTCGTTAGTCACTGTGAACATTGTGAGGCATTGCTTTTGTCTGCTTTAATAGCCACTCTACTGGCACAACAGGGAGTTGACAGTTTCAGTCCTCAATATCTCGAAGGCAATGCACAAAGAGGTAAGTCTTCTGTACTTTGATATTTGTCATTAAAGTATGCATAATTTGAGTGTATTTTGATTTCGAAAAAGACATTGGTTTGCTCATTATTTGGTAGCGTGTATGTGAGATGTTTGTGATTTAACTGGAGCACACTTGGCGGGCGTTGTTTCATGTAACAATAAATGAAACCTGGTATGATACTACTGGTTTAGTTTACGACTAGAAGAAGTTGTTTGGTGAGAAGTAGAAAGCCCAGGTTTCGTGCGTACATGGCCTCCCAGGGAACTGACCTCGCGTGAATGGTTCACTGGTAGAACGTTCGCTAATCATGCACTCCTAAACCTCGGTCATCATCCTGTGGTGCGCCAGTTAAAGAGGAACGCTTAAGTGTAGGACTGGCTACCCCAACCAGGTGAATATGCCACTGTTAATGATTCCCCATAGCTCCAGCTTCAGTCAGTATGTTCCACTCGAAACACAAGAGAATGCAGAAATGCACTTGTTAACAGGTTGCATTGCCAGACTTGGTAGACATCATGTTCACTTCAGATTCTGGTGCGATTTGTTCTCCCTTGACGTCAAACAAAACACAAAACATTGCACCATAATCTGTAGCAGTGTTGTGCTGCTTGAGTATGCTCACCACACATGTGGATGCCTACCACTTGAGAAAAGACAGTTGAATTATTAATTATGTAGGAATGGATTGTTATATCTGGTTGAATCAGTGTCGATTACAGCTCGTTTCATTTTGTGTTTAATTTCAATTGCAGATTTTTACAGAACTAATCTGTTTTCAGACATATTTCAAGTGGTATTGCTTTTCAAACTGATTGTGTGATTCGAATAGTAAATGCAAGAGAAGGCGTTCGGCGAAGAGTGAATATCTCCAGCCATGTTATTCTCAAGCTGCACAATAGCATATGTATAGTGCATATTCTAAGCAGCGAAAGCAATATTCGTGAGGAAGTGTGATCAAAATTGAAAATTTCAGATGAGGCATTCGTTTCGGTCCCCACCGAATTCACGCATTCCACACTACGTAATGCGTCATCTGAAATCTTCAATGTTGATCACACTTCCTCACGAATATTGCTTTCGCTGCTTAGAATATGCACTATACATATGCTATTGTGCAGCTTGAGAATAACATGGCTGGAGATATTCACTCTTCGCCGAACGCCTTCTCCTCTATATGACACAGTGGGTATTTTTAAATGGTGAAGAGCTGAATTGAACTTCACTACCAAGTCACTGTAACTATGGAAGCCGGTGAAAGTTTCCTCTGACTTGTTGGCATCACTCAACCTGTAGATCAGTAGCTATTGAATTCATCTCGACTGTATTTGAAGCCAGCAGATTTGAGTGACTCTTACAACAGTGCAGTGAATAAAGGTTCCTTGTTTGAAGTGGAAATTGTCGATTGTCAGTAACACATTTTTGTGCAATTGTTTTTTCCAGGGAAACGTACAACATTCAGGCTTCTTCAGGAGAAGACAGACTCCCTGGTATTCGGATGGAATCGATTTGATGAGAAAGGCATTTCAAAGCTGATTTTGGAACGGGAAGTAGACTGGGCCTTTGATGATACTTTGGATCTCCCCTTGGTTAATCAATCAGAATTCAATGTAATTGGGCAATCATGCATACCTGAAAATTATCATATAATTGCAAAGACGTCAGGCTACTTTGGTCACTATGAGGAGGCAAGGAGGAGTCTGATATACGAACGAGGTGAGTACATTTTGTGCTGCAAACTTTCATGAACATTCCAGAGTCCATAGGTACTAGAAAATAGTGGAGTCTGTAGCTGCGTCAGCGGCTGAAGAGGAAGTCGCTGCTGCTGCTGCTGCTGCTGGATTCAACATAGAACTTGGCACCGAAGTGCAGCAGTTCGAGTTGCCACATTTCAAACAGCACACAAAGGTAGACAAGAAGATGAGTGAAGAGAATCAGTATAGTTTTGATAAGTATAGGAGTGAAATAGAATGAGTAATGGTAGAAAGGAATATGAAAGATTGCAGAGACTGAATACATCTGCATAAGCCATTGACAACGATTTTGAGCCATGTCACCTATTGTCTCCAGCCAATGATTCTTAGAGTCCCGAAGGCAAGCCCCAACCCGGAAGTCTGCATCTCCTCCCTACCTGACTCAGTTTAACTGTCAGGGATTTCATGGATTGATGCCATGTTTTTGTTTGGCCACCACTTACTCTTTTCCAACCTGCAGCTATATCAGCTAGTAATTAATGCCCATCGCGGGAGGCGATGGTTAGGCATGTACAGCATGTGACCTAGCCATCTCAATCTATGTAACTTTATAGCCTCGTCGATTGATTTTCCCTCTTTGCCCAACACTCTACGCCTAACGTCAACATTACTTACTTTATTGTGCCACCTAACGTGAGAAAGAGATCGTAAACATCTATGATCAGAAACAGACAACTTTCCATGTCTTCAACTCGTATTGGCCATGTTTCAGAGCCATAGAGAAGGACGGAGCGAACTGCTGAGCAGTACACACGTCCCTTGGTTGATAGCCGGATGTCACGCCTACGTTAGAGACGGTGTAAGCTAGCGAAAGCAACCCGAGCTTTTGGGATCTGTGCTGAGATTTCGTCACCAATCAATCCGTTGGTGCTGATACAACTTCCCAAATAGATGAAGTGGTCAACATGTTCTATCACTTCACTCCCTATCACTAAGCTAGGAGTTGACGTAGTCCAGTCCTGTAGCAGCATCTTACATTTTACAGGGGCGAATCACATACCAAACATACGAAGATTGCTGCTCAAGGTGTTCAGAAGACTCTGCATTTTGTCAGCATCCTCCCCTAAATCGAATGCATGAACAGTGTAGTCTAGACCCACCCAGCAGATACTGGGCATTGAATGGAATCATAAGAGACGTTGTCGGTCAGCTACGCCTTCCTAGCAGTCTGTCCAGATGACCTCGACTACGTCTTCCATCAGTAGCTGAAACGGTAGCAATGAGTGCTAGGAGACCCGATCGCCGTATACAGAGGGAGTATGCCCAACCGCTTTGTCTATCATGGCCAACGTTGGCATTTAAATTTCCTGAACCACGTTCTCCCTTTTTCTCCTGTGTTTTATTTACAGATGTTTATTTGAGACCTTCTACAGCTTAGAAACCTCAGGTTGGCGCAATGCTTCTCAAACTTGATATTATATTTACACAATGGTGTTCATTCCACTTGATTTAATTCAGTCTTGCCTGATGAACGTGTGCTGATAGGACGTTTGAGTTGACACCAGCCCGTCGTTATTTTTTCATCAATATTGTTGTCCAGTTCATCGCATTTCTTGGTCTATTTGCCTGTAGTATTCATATTGTCTCACACATCACTGACTACAGACACCTTTGAAGACTGCGCTTTTGTTGGCTACGTAAATATTCACATCACTGAATTATTCAACTTCATTCTGTCGCATTTTCTCATTGGCCACACGTGTTCGAGATGGTGATCGGAACTCACTGACCACTACTATCAATCCGTCTTGTGTGTGCACTACTCAGAACATTTTGTGATTAATTCCAGTTCACTGTTACTGACAGTATTGTCTGCTAGAATGAGTGGATTTATCATTGAATAATCTGAGGAAGAGTTCATTGAAAACCATTGTTCACCGTAGTGATTCTTCTTCCGAATAAATTATGAGGATACTGAACAAAAGACACCAGGATGAAACTTATTTTGGTACAAGTGAAACAGATGACTAAAAATTATTGACTTTAGAAAGCCTGAAGTCCTAGCTGATATTTCGATACTTTACAAGTGGTGAAAGCATCGTGATTCATCGACACTTTCTTTTCACATTCCTACTAAATCAATAATAACTTCAATTATTTGTATTCATTCACACAATCTCCACCGTGCACCCTATCGCCTTGTGAATGTTCACGATTTTCTTTTCTCTGTCAGTTCCGAGAGTTGCAAAGGTTGAATTCGAACCGTTGTCAAATAGAAATCAATTGGTGAAATGGACGTTGGAAGGTTCTCCGTGCCATTCCAGTGACAGTGTTATCATATTCGAAGGACTAGCTGATGAATCTCTGGAAATGACCATTGTTCCTATTGAAAGTGCAGTACCTACGAAAATAAGAAACTCGAAGGACGTTGTCATCATTTTGGCAGTTCTCCATGAAGAAAGATTCTCTCTGCCGACTCTAGGTAACTGATTCAATAATTAACAAAATTGTGTGTGAAACCTAAATTATTTCAATGCTAACATTATCTATGATATAGTTAGTTAGTGTGCATGACACGTAATTTTGTCGACTACAGCACAATAGAATGATTTTCCCTGGTGTGTACATAATCAATGCACTCATGCGAAAATGGTGGGCATCTCTCAAAAATGAAGTCGATTGTAACGATCACCACTGAGAAACCGAATGCACAGACAGAATAACTAGACATGGAAACGGAGATAAAGGTGACATATTGAAAAAGGAATAAGTGTTGGTTCACAGGTATTTGATTGGTTACAGGACTGATCGCTGGTTGTCATCACTCGACGAACAGCTGTATCCTCCTAGTTTGACACTCTTCATTAGTACGAACTCACCAGGGGTCGACCGAGGGACTTCTGGTTTCTGCACTCACACGTTCTTCAATCCTCCTCTAATTGATGTCGACTAGTGGTCACACATGCAATACGTCAAAATCCTACAAGCCGAAACTCCACAATTAATCTGATGCTCACTACCGACTGGCTCTACACTGGAAGTTCTGGAGTGGTATTGAGATGTTGTGACGAGTGTGGTCCGCCAAGTCACGTAAGGAAGAACAGATACTGGCCTACGTCTTTGGTTGGTGGTTGTGATGTACATCAATCGCGATTTGTCAGAAGTTGGACAGATTCGGAGTGGATGAATAGCAAACAGTCAATTCTGTGGATAGATAGTTGAAGTTCCACAGACAACAAATGTAATGTCAAACAGAGTAAGAGTGAAAAGCACCACAAATAGCGGCCACGAGAATAGAACGAGGCTATTGAATGTGAGAAACGTCGGTGAGAAGTGACAGTTAGGACGGGACGAAAACAACCATGAGGGAATTCTGAACCTAGCAATCTGATAGAGGAAAAGAGAAGGAAGAGTGAAAACGTCAGCTGAAAAAATACTGGAAAAATTTGTCGTGAGCAATAGTCAAGGTGTTGTGTAAGAAATTATGCCGCGAGACGATTATAGTAATGTTGCATAGGAATAAGACAGGGGAGACCAGAGATACGACTTCACAGATTACAGAATAAATAAAGCAATTCCAATACGATTTCACCAACCACACAAAAAGTAATCAGAATAAATCAGAATGACGTGAAAACAAAGACTGTACAGGGAGGTGAAGTGAAATTACAAAGTTGAAACCGCAATACGGTAACTAACTGGTAATCGATAGGAGAAAATTCCACAAAACATGCCCAACAAAATAAACTACAGAAAGTAAAGATAGACGAGTAAGTGTAAATTGTCAACAAGGAAAGAAGGAACCAGAAGAAGAGCAGCACAGAAAAACAAAAATCCTAGACAAGAAAATAGGAAAAGTGCACCACAAAGAGAATATCACAAGTAAACCACAACGCGACAAGCAAATTCTCTCCGAGTGTACGTGTTTGTTGTATGAAATGTGAGTGGGCGATGATACTCACTGAATCATCACTCGCTAACTCCTCACATCTCGGCCGAAATCGCCATCAACAAATGTCAGACAGGCTTGACATTCATTCACCTGTCGTCATCTCTGTTGTCACGATGAGGAAGAGTGTAGTGTATATTGATTGACACGCCGCCGACTCATTCACTACACTTGCCACACTGCTTTCTTTTTCAGAATCCCCAAAGGCTGCGATAATCGAGGAGGAGGAAATCGTACCGGCGTCGACAGGTGAGTATATTTCACACTCACACTCGATTCCGTGCATAACACCGGTCACTGTCCACACACACAGACACATTCATTCACAAACACACAGTACTCCACCCTGAAATATGCACACCACTTGACTACAGACAACACTCACAATCACTGGTGTCATGCACGCCTTCAAAGTGTCAGAGTGAAATCCACAATGACGCACACACACGCACATATGTTGAGTGGATGAGGTGGGAAGACATGTGACTCATTGGTTGTGGCGCTCATGGATTGAAGTAGTTGAGGGTCATCCGACTGTCGTGACGTCGGCCTTTCCTTGTTATTCTTGTGTTCGCTGATAGTGGTCACGATGTTGTATGGTATTGAGTTCTCGCGATGAACGTATTTTCAAATTAGGTATTGATTATAGGATGGTTCTATACTGTATTTTTCCTTGTGAATTTAAATATTCCGAAGCACATTCATACCCGTAAACTAATATCTGAGTTTTATACTCGGATGTGGCGAAAGACAGTATTAACACTTCCAGATGAGCATTAACCTCAACTGCCTGCTTCGACTGACTCCTGGGTGTGCAAGTTTAGACGCCTCATAGTTTCTTCTCTGAGGTGGACGCAGACAATCGGTTGTAAGCTTTGCACCTAGATGTCACATTGCATCTGAATACATCGAGTAGTCTCTTAGAGAATGTCAATCGTGAGCCCGAATTGCTGATTGGTAAGGTGATTGACTGTGGAATGGGCTACTGACGCGAGCTCAAGCCTCAAATGAGACATGAATTGTATCTAGGGAGTGAGATTCGCCTTGCTGTAGAGTTCCAACGCATCGGTGGCACAGTGGTTGGGACTCTCGCCGACCATGCACATGGTCCGGAGTTCGATCCCCTGCCGACGCACACCCGATATCTATGGACGGCCTGCGAAAATTGGGCTGAAAATGCCATACTTGTACTGAAAATACCATGTGGCATCAAGCTGTAACCAAAAATAAAATAAAAAAATAAATATTGACAACTTGAATGATTGAGTTCAATTGAGAATAAACACAAGCACTAGACACACGATATCGGTCACTTCCCAGACGATGAAATAGTTGAGAACGGACTGCAATGAAAGCTGACCAATAACGGTCGTCTTGTTTGAAATGGCTATCCAGTTGCATTTGATTCATTATCCTATATGCTTTGTGGTGACATTTCAAGAATTATTTTCGATGGAAATTAGAAACTCGTTAGTCACTGTGAACATTGTGAGGCATTGCTTTTGTCTGCTTTAATAGCCACTCTACTGGCACAACAGGGAGTTGACAGTTTCAGTCCTCAATATCTCGAAGGCAATGCACAAAGAGGTAAGTCTTCTGTATTTTGATATTTGTCATCAAAGTTTGCATAATTTGAGTGTATTTTGATTTCGAAAAAGACATTGGTTTGCTCATTATTTGATAGCGTGTATGTGAGATGTTTGTGATTTAACTGGAGCACACTTGGCGGGCGTTGTTTCATGTAACAATAAATGAAACCTGGTATGATACTACTGGTTTAGTTTACGACTAGAAGAAGTTGTTTGGTGAGAAGTGGAAAGCCCAGGTTTCGTGCGTACATGGCCTCCCAGGGAACTGACCTCGCGTGAATGGTTCACTGGTAGAACGTTCGCTAATCATGCACTCCTAAACCTCGGTCATCATCCTGTGGTGCGCCAGTTAAAGAGGAACGCTTAAGTGTAGGACTGGCTACCCCAACCAGGTGAATATGCCACTGTTAATGATTCCCCATAGCTCCAGCTTCAGTCAGTATGTTCCACTCGAAACACAAGAGAATGCAGAAATGCACTTGTTAACAGGTTGCATTGCCAGACTTGGTAGACATCATGTTCACTTCAGATTCTGGTGCGATTTGTTCTCCCTTGACGTCAAACAAAACACAAAACATTGCACCATAATCTGTAGCAGTGTTGTGCTGCTTGAGTATGCTCACCACACATGTGGATGCCTACCACTTGAGAAAAGACAGTTGAATTATTAATTATGTAGGAATGGATTGATAAATCTGGTTGAATCAGTGTCGACTACAGCAAGTTTCACTTTGTTGTTTATTTCAATGGCAGATTGTGACAGAATCAATCTGTTTTCGGACACATTTCAAGTGGTATTGCTTTTCAAACTGATTGTGTGATTCGAATAGTAAATGCAAGAGAAGGCGTTCGGCGAAGAGTGAATATCTCCAGCCATGTTATTCTCAAGCTGCACAATAGCATATGTATAGTGCATATTCTAAGCAGCGAAAGCACTATTCGTGAGGAAGTGTGATCAACATTGAAGATTTCAGATGACGCATTACGTAGTGTGGAATGCGTGAATTCGGTGGAGACCAAAACCAAATGGATCAAGTCAAATGAGTGATGCAATATAGCTGAAGGGGTTGAGTATCAAGCAACTGAAATTGAACGGATGTCACATTAGCAGCAGTGGTGATAATGAGTGAAAATTTAGTAGATGGTGGTGGGAGAATATAATTGAATTCGGAAGCAAACAACACAGGAGTTACTTATCCAGTGTTGAGATAGATCTGGTCCAGTGTAGATTTGGGACTGAACAGTATTCCTTTGCATGCAGAGTTCAGGATTCCACGTGTGAGCTGTCGTTGCTTCTGGAGTCTGAAGAAGTTTGATTGGCACACTTTCAGTAAGATCACCACGTAATAGGTGAATACTTTTAAAGTTATTTACCTGGTGTGCCTTATGTTCTGATCGCATCAAGAGTGCTGGGATAAATAAGTGGCGAGGGAATCTCTCCTCTCCTCTCAGAAATCATGAAGGTGAGTGTTCGATGGTGCATTTGGATAGCGAACACTGGCTGCGACCGACATTCCCATCTCCCCAGGATCATGTGAATTGGTGAATGTACATTGCAATCGAAACCTGACGCTGGTTCCATGCGAGTTGAATGATACTCAACCCCTTCAGCTATATTGCATCACTCAATTGACTTATTCCATTTGGTTTTGGTCTCCACCGAATTCACGCATTCCACACTACGTAATGCCTCATCTGAAATCTTCAGTGTTGATCACACTTCCTCACGAATATTGCTTTCGCTGCTTAGAATATGCACTATACATATGCTATTGTGCAGCTTAAGAATAATTTAGTTTAATTTAAATTCTGATTTACAGCTTGATTCCACATCGCATTTTCAGTACAAGTATGGAATTTTCAGCATGAATATCGGTAGCCCAGGCCGACCATAGATATCGGGTGTGCGCCGGCAGGGGATCGAACCCCGGACAACGTGCATGGTCGGCGAGAGTCCTAACCACATGGCTGAAGATATTCACTCTTCGCCGAACGCCTTCTCCTCTATATGACACAGTGGGTATTTTTAAATGGTGAAGAGCTGAATTGAACTTCACTACCAAGTCACTGTAACTATGGAAGCCGGTGAAAGTTTCCTCTGACTTGTTGGCATCACTCAACCTGTAGATCAGTAGCTATTGAATTCATCTCGACTGTATTTGAAGCCAGCAGATTTGAGTGAATCTGACAACAGTGTAGTGAATAAAGGTTCCTTGTTTGAAGTGGAAATTGTCGATTGTCAGTAACACATTTTTGTGCAATTGATTTTTCCAGGGAAACGTACAACATTCAGGCTTCTTCAGGAGAAGACAGACTCCCTGGTATTCGGATGGAATCGATTTGATGAGAAAGGCATTTCAAAGCTGATTTTGGAACGGGAAGTAGACTGGGCCTTTGATGATACTTTGGATCTCCCCTTGGTTAATCAATCAGAATTCAATGTAATTGGGCAATCATGCATACCTGAAAATTATCATATAATTGCAAAGACGTCAGGCTACTTTGGTCACTATGAGGAGGCAAGGAGGAGTCTGATATACGAACGAGGTGAGTACATTTTGTGCTGCAAACTTTCATGAACATTCCAGAGTCCATAGGTACTAGAAAATAGTGGAGTCTGTAGCTGCGTCAGCGGCTGAAGAGGAAGTCGCTGCTGCTGCTGCTGCTGCTGCTGGATTCAACATAGAACTTGGCACCGAAGTGCAGCAGTTCGAGTTGCCACATTTCAAACAGCACACAAAGGTAGACAAGAAGATGAGTGAAGAGAATCAGTATAGTTTTGATAAGTATAGGAGTGAAACAGAATGAGTAATGGTAGAAAGGAATATGAAAGATTGCAGAGACTGAATACATCTGCGTAAGCCATTGACAACGATTTTGAGCCATGTCACCTATTGTCTCCAGCCATTGATTCTTAGAGTCCCGAAGGCAAGCCCCAACCCGGAAGTCTGCATCTCCCTACCTGACTCAGTTTAACTGTCAGGGATTTCATGGATTGATGCCACGTTTTTGTTTTACCACCACTTACTCTTTTCCAACCTGCACCTATATCAGCTGGTAATGCCCGTCGGGGGAGGCGATGGTTAGGCATGCAAAGCACGTGACTTGGCCATCTCAATCTATGTAACTTTATAGCCTCGTCGACTGATTCTCACTCTTTGCCCAACACTCTACGCCTAACGTCGACATTACTTACTTTATTGTGCCACCTAACGTGAGAAAGAGATCGTAAACATCTATGATCAGAAACAGACAACATTTTCATGTTTTCAACTCGTATTGGCCATGTTTCAGAGCCATAGAGAAGGACGGAGCGAACTGCTGAGCAGTACACACGTTCCTTGGTTGATAGCCGGATGTCACGCCTACGCCAGAGACGGTGTAAGCTAGCGAAAGCAGCCCGAGCATTTTGGATCCGTGCTGAGATTTCGTCACCAATCAATCTGTTGGTGCTGATACAACTTCCCAAATAGGTGAAGTGGTCAACATGTTCTATCACTTCACTCCCTATCACTAAGCTAGGAGTTTACGTAGTCCAGTCCTGTAGCAGCATCTTACACTTTACAGGGGCGACTCGCATGCCAAACATACGAAGATTGCTGCTCAAGGTGTTCAGAAGACTCTGCATTTTGTCAGCATCCTCCCCTAAATCGAATGCGTGAACAGTGTAGTCTAGACCCACCCAGCAGATACTGGACATTGAATGGAATCATAAGAGACGTTGTCCGTCAGCTACGCCTTCCTAGCAATCTGTCCAGATGACCTCGACTACGTCTTCCATCAGTAGCTGAAACGGTAGCAACCAGTGCTAGGAGACCCGATCGCCGTATACAGAGGGAGTATGCCCAACCGCTTTGTCTACCATGGACAACGTTGGCATTTAAAATTCCTGAAGCACGTCTTCACTTTCTCTCCTGTGTTTTATTTACAGATGTTTATTTGAGACCTTCTGCAGTTTAGAAACCTCAGGTTGGCGCAATGCTTCTCAAACTTGATATTATATTTCCACAATGGTGTTCATTCCACTTGATTTAATTCAGTCCTGCCTGATGAACGTGTGCTGATAGGACGTTTGAGTTGACACCAGCCCGTCGTTATTTTTTCATCAATATTGTTGTCCAGTTTATCGCATTTGTTGGTCTATTTGCCTGTAGTATTCATATTGTCTCACACATCACTGACTACAGACACCTTTGAAGACTGCGCTTTTGTTGGCTACGTAAATATTCACATCACTGAATTATTCAACTTCATTCTGTCGCATTTTCTCATTGACCACACGTATTCGAGATGGTGATCGGAACTCACTGACCACTACTACCGATCCGTCTTGTGTGTGCACCACTCAGAACATTTTGTGATTAATTCCAGTTCCCCGTTACTGACAGTATTGTCTGCTAGAATGAGTGGATTTATCATTGAATAACCTGAGGGAGAGTTCATTGAAAACCATTGTTCACCGTAGTTATTCTTCTTCCGAATAAATCATGAGGATACTGAACAAAAGACAACAGGATGAAACTTATTTTGGTGCAAGTGAATCAGATGACTAAAAATTATTGACTTTAGAAAGCCCGAAGTCCTAGCTGATATTTCGATACTTTACAAGTGGTGAAAGCATCGTGATTCATCGACACTTTCTTTTCACATTCCTACTAAATCACTAATAACTCTAATTATTTGCATTCATTCACACAATCTCCACCGTGCACCCTATCGCCTTGTGAATGTTCACGATTTTCTTTTCTCTGTCAGTTCCGAGAGTTGCAAAGGTTGAATTCGAACCGTTGTCAAATAGAAATCAATTGGTGAAATGGACGTTGGAAGGTTCTCCGTGCCATCCCAGTGACAGTGTTATCATATTCGAAGGACAAGCTGATGAATCTCTGGAAATGACCATTGTTCCTATTGAAAGTGCAGTACCTACGAAAATAAGAAACTCGAAGGACGTTGTCATCATTTTGGCAGTTCTCCATGAAGAAAGATTCTCTCTTCCGACTCTAGGTAACTGATTCAATAATTAACAAAATTGTGTGTGAAACCTAAATTATTTCAATGCTAACATTATCTATGATATAGTTAGTTAGTGTGCATGACACGTAATTTTGTCGACTACAGCACAACAGATTGATTTTCCCTGGTGTGTACATAATCAATGCACTCATGCGAAAATGGTGGGCATCTCTCAAAAATGAAGTCGATTGTAACGATCACCACTGAGAAACCAAATGCACAGACAGAATAACTAGACATGGAAACGGAGATAAAGGTGACATATTGAAAAAGGAATAAGTGTTGGTTCGCAGGTATTTGATTGGTCACAGGACTGATCGCTGGTTGTCATCACTCGAGGAACCGTTGGGAAACCTGGGAGTAGTGGACAGCTGTTTCCTCCTAGTTTGACGCTCTTCATTAGTACGAACTCACCAGGGGTCGACTGAGGGACTTCTGGTTTCTGCTCTCGCACGTTCTTCAATCCTCCTCTAATTGATGTCGACTAGTGGTCACACATGCAATACGTCAAAATCCCACAAGCCGAAACTCCACAATGAATCTGATGCTCACTACCGACTGGCTCTACACTGGAAGTTCTGGAGTGGTATTGAGATGTTGTGACGAGTGTGGTCCGCCAAGTCACGTAAGGAAGAACAGATACTGGCCTACGTCTTTGGTTGGTGGTTGTGATGTACATCAATCGCGATTTGTCAGAAGTTGGACAGAGTCGGAGTGGCTGAATAGCAAACAGTCAATTTTGTGGATAGATAGTTGAAGTTCCACAGACAACAAATGTAATGTCAAACAGAGTAAGAGTGAAAAGCACCACAAATAGCGGCCACGAGAATAGAACGAGGCTAGAAAATGTGAGAAAAGTCGGCGAGAAGTGACAGTTAGGACGAGACGAAAACAACCATGAGGGAATTCTGAACCTAGCAATCTGATAGAGGAAAAGAGAAGGAAGAGTGAAAACGTCAGTTGACAAAATACTGGAAAAATTTGTCGTGAGCAATAGTCAAGGTGTTGTGTATGAAATTATGCCGCGAGACGATTATAGTAATGTTGCATAGGACTAAGACAGGGGAGACCAGAGATACGACTTCACAGATTACAGAATGAATAAAGCTATTCCAATACGATTTCACGGAGCACACAAAATGAAAGCAGAATAAATCGAAACGAGTTGAAAACAAAGACTGCACAGGGAAGTGAAGAGAAATTACAAAATTGAAACCGGAAGACAGTAACTAACTGGTAATTGATAAGAGAAAATTCCACAAAACATGCCCAACAAAACGAAATACAGAAAGTAAAGGTGGGCGAGTAAGTGAAAAACCTCGACAAGGAAAGAAGAAACGACAAAAAAAGAGACACAGATAAACAGAAATTGTAGACAAGAAAATAAGAAAAGTGCAATGTGCCCCACAAAGAGAATATCACAATTAACACAGAACGTAACAGTCAAACTCTCTCCGAGTGTACGTGTTTGTTGTATGAAATGTGAGTGGGCGATCATACTCACTGAATCATCACTCGCCAACACCTCACATCTCGGCCGAAATCGCCATCAACAAATGTCAGACAGGCTTGACATTCATTCACCTGTCGTCATCTCTGTTGTCACGATGAGGAAGAGTGTAGTGCATTTTGACTGACACGCCGCCGACTCACTCACTACACTTGCCACACTGCTTTCTTTTTCAGAATCCCCAAAGGCTGAGATAATCGAGGAGGAGGAAATCGTACCGGCGTCGTCAAGTGAGTATATTTCACACTCCCAGACACACACACTCACACTCGCTTTCGATTAGGTGCATAACACCGGTCACTGTACACAAACACTCACAAGGAAACGAACACACACAGACAGACTCACTCATGCACAAACACACAGTACTACAGCCAGTATCACCCCTGAAATGCGAACACCACTTGACTACAGACAACACTCACAATCACTGGTGTCATGCACGCCTTCAAAGTGTCAGAGTGAAATCCACAATGGCACACGCACACGCACATATGTTGAGTGGATGAGGTGGGAAGACATGTGACTCATTGGTTGTGGCCCTCATGGATTGAAGTATTTGAGGTTCTTCCGACTTTCGTGACATAGGCCTTCCCATGTTATTCTTGTTTTTGCTGATGGCCGTCTCGTTGTTTTATGATATTGAGTTCTCACTGTTAAAGCATTTTCATATAAGATTTTGTTATTGTGTTGGTTTTATACTGTAGTTTTCCTTGTGACTTTTGATATTCCGAAGCACATTTATACCCGTTAACTAATATCTGTGTTTTACACTGGGATGTGGCGAAAGACAGTATTAACACTTCCAGATAAGCATTAACCTCAACTGCCTGCTTCGACTAATTCCTGGGTGTGTAGGTTTAGACGCCTCATAGTTTCTTCTCTGAGGTGGTTGCAGACAATCGGTTGTAAGCTTTGCACCTAGATGTCACATTGCATCTGAATACATCGATTAGTCTCTTAGAGAATGTCAATCGTGAGCCCGAATTGCTGATTGGTAAGGTGTTTGACTGTGGAATGGGCTACTGACGCGAGCTCAAGCCTCAAATGAGACATGAATTGTATCTAGGGAGTGAGATTCACCTTGCTGTAGAGTTCCAACGCATATTGACAACTTGAATGATTGCGTTCAATTGAGAATAAACACAAGCACCAGACACACGATATTGGTCACTTCCCAGACGATGAAATAGTTGAGAACGGGCTTCAATTATAGCTGACCAATAACGGTCGTCTTGTTTGAAATGGCTATCCAGTTGCATTTGATTCATTATCCTATATGCTTTGTGGTGACATTTCAAGAATTGTTTTCGATGGAAATTAGAAACTCGTTAGTCACTGTGAACATTGTGAGGCATTGCTTTTGTCTGCTTTAATAGCCACTCTACTGGCACAACAGGGAGTTGACAGTTTCAGTCCTCAATATCTCGAAGGCAATGCACAAAGAGGTAAGTCTTCTGTATTTTGATATTTGTCATCAAAGTTTGCATAATTTGAGTGTATTTTGATTTCGAAAAAGACATTGATTTGCTCAATATTTGGTAGCGTGTATGTAAGATGTTTGTGATGAAACCGGAGAACACTTGGCGGGCGTTGTTCCATGTAACAATAAATGAAACCTGGTATGATACTACTGGTTTAGTTTACGACTAGAAGAAGTTGTTTGGTGAGAAGTAAAAAGCCCAGGTTTCATGCGTACATGGCCTCCCAGGGAACTGACCTCGCGTGAATGGTTCACTGGTAGAACGTTCGCTAATCATGCACTCCTAAACCTCGGTCATCATCCTGTGGTGCGCCAGTTAAAGAGGAACGCTTAAGTGTAGGACTGGCTACCCCAACCAGGTGAATATGCCACTGGTAATGATTCTCCATAGCTCCAGCTTCAGTCAGTATGTTCCACTCGAAACACAACGGAATGCAGAAATGCACTTGTTAACAGGTTGCATTGCCAAACTTCGTAGACATCATGTTCACTTCAGATTCTGGTGCGATTTGTTCTCCCTTGATGTCAAACAAAACACAAAACATTGCACCATAATCTGTAGCAGTGTTGTGCTGCTTGAGTATGCTCACCACACATGTGGATGCCTACCACTTGAGAATAGACAGTTGAATTATTAATTATGTAGGAATGGATTGATAAATCTGGTTGAATCAGTGTCGAATACAGCTCGTTTCATTTTGTGTTTAATTTCAATTGCAGATTTTTACAGAACTAATCTGTTTTCGGACATATTTCAAGTGGTATTGCTTTTCAAACTGATTGTGTGAATCGAATAGTAAATGCAAGAGAAGGCGTTTGGCGAAGAGTGAATATCTCCAGCCATGTTATTCTCAAGCTGCACAATAGCATATGTATAGTGCATATTCTAAGCAGCGAAAGCACTATTCGTGAGGAAGTGTGATCAACACTGAAGATTTCAGATGACGCATTACGTAGTGTGGAATGCGTGAATTCGGTGGAGACCAAAACCAAATGGATCAAGTCAAATGAGTGATGCAATATAGCTGAAGGGGTTGAGTATCAAGCAACTGAAATTGAACGGATGTCACATTAGCAGCAGTGGTGATAATGAGTGAAAATTTAGTAGATGGTGGTGGGAGAATATAATTGAATTCGGAAGCAAACAACACAGGAGTTACTTATCCAGTGTTGAGATAGATCTGGTCCAGTGTAGATTTGGGACTGAACAGTATTCCTTTGCATGCAGAGTTCAGGATTCCACGTGTGAGCTGTCGTTGCTTCTGGAGTCTGAAGAAGTTTGATTGGCACACTTTCAGTAAGATCACCACGTAATAGGTGGATACTTTTTAAGTTATCTAGCTGGTGTGCTTAATGTTCTGATCGCATCAAGAGTGCTGGGATAAATAAGTGGCGAGGGAATCTCTCCTCTCCTCTCAGAAATCATGAAGGTGAGTGTTCGATGGTGCATTTGGATAGCGAACACTGGCTGCGACCGACATTCCCATCTCCCCAGGATCATGTGAATTGGTGAATGTACATTGCAATCGAAACCTGACGCTGGTTCCATGCGAGTTGAATGATACTCAACCCCTTCAGCTATATTGCATCACTCAATTGACTTATTCCATTTGGTTTTGGTCTCCACCGAATTCACGCATTCCACACTACGTAATGCCTCATCTGAAATCTTCAGTGTTGATCACACTTCCTCACGAATAGTGCTTTCGCTGCTTAGAATATGCACTATACATATGCTATTGTGCAGCTTGAGAATAACATGGCTGGAGATATTCACTCTTCGCCGAACGCCTTCTCGTCTCTATGACTCAATGGGTATTTTTAAATGATGAAGAGCTGAATTGAACTTCACTACCAAGTCACTGTAACTATGGAAGCCGGTGAAAGTTTCCTCTGACTTGTTGGCATCACTCAACCTGTAGATCAGTAGCTACTGAATTCATCTCGACTGTATTTGAAGCCAGCAGATTTGAGTGACTCTAACAACAGTGCAGTGAATAAAGGTTCCTTGTTTGAAGTGGAAATTGTCGATTGTCAGTAACACATTTTTGTGCAATTGTTTTTTCCAGGGAAACGTACAACATTCAGGCTTCTTCAGGAGAAGACAGACTCCCTGGTATTCGGATGGAATCGATTTGATGAGAAAGGCATTTCAAAGCTGATTTTGGAACGGGAAGTAGACTGGGCCTTTGATGATACTTTGGATCTCCCCTTGGTTAATCAATCAGAATTCAATGTAATTGGGCAATCATGCATACCTGAAAATTATCATATAATTGCAAAGACGTCAGGCTACTTTGGTCACTATGAGGAGGCAAGGAGGAGTCTGATATACGAACGAGGTGAGTACATTTTGTGCTGCAAACTTTCATGAACATTCCAGAGTCCATAGGTACTAGAAAATAGTGGAGTCTGTAGCTGCGTCAGTCACTGAAGAGGAAGTCGCTGCTGCTGCTGCTGCTGCTGCTGGATTCAACATAGAACTTGGCACCGAAGTGCAGCAGTTCGAGTTGCCACATTTCAAACAGCACACAAAGGTAGACAGGAAGATGAGTGAAGAGAATCAGTATAGTTTTGATAAGTATAGGAGTGAAACAGAATGAGTAATGGTAGAAAGGAATATGAAAGATTGCAGAGACTGAATACATCTGCGTAAGCCATTGACAACGATTTTGAGCCATGTCACCTATTGTCTCCAGCCATTGATTCTTAGAGTCCCGAAGGCAAGCCCCAACCCGGAAGTCTGCATCTCCCTACCTGACTCAGTTTAACTGTCAGGGATTTCATGGATTGATGCCACGTTTTTGTTTTACCACCACTTACTCTTTTCCAACCTGCACCTATATCAGCTAGTAATGCCCGTCGGGGGAGGCGATGGTTAGGCATGCAAAGCACGTGACTTGGCCATCTCAATCTATGTAACTTTATAGCCTCGTCGATTGATTTTCCCTCTTTGCCCAACACTCTACGCCTAACGTCAACATTACTTACTTTATTGTGCCACCTAACGTGAGAAAGAGATCGTAAACATCTATGATCAAAAACAGACAATCTTTTCATGTCTTCAACTCGTATTGGCCATGTTTCAGAGCCATAGAGAAGGACGGAGCGAACTGCTGAGCAGTACACACGTCCCTTGGTTGATAGCCGGATGTCACGCCTACGCCAGAGACGGTGTAAGCTAGCGAAAGCAGCCCGAGCATTTTGGATCCGTGCTGAGATTTCGTCACCAATCAATCTGTTGGTGCTGATACAATTTCCCAAATAGATGAAGTGGTCAACATGTTCTATCACTTCACTCCCTATCACTAAGCTAGGAGTTTACGTAGTCCAGTCCTGTAGCAGCATCTTACATTTTACAGGGGCGACTCGCATGCCAAACATACGAGGATTGCTGCTCAAGGTGTTCAGAAGACTCTGCATTTTGTCAGCATACTCCCCTAAATCGAATGCGTGAACAGTGTAGTCTAGACCCACCCAGCAGATACTGGACATTGAATGGAATCATAAGAGACGTTGTCCGTCAGCTACGCCTTCCTAGCAATCTGTCCAGATGACCTCGACTACGTCTTCCATCAGTAGCTGAAACGGTAGCAACCAGTGCTAGGAGACCCGATCGCCATATACAGAGGGGGTATGCCCAACCGCTTTGTCTACCATGGACAACGTTGGCATTTAAAATTCCTGAAGCACGTCTTCACTTTCTCTCCTGTGTTTTATTTACAGATGTTTATTTGAGACCTTCTGCAGTTTAGAAACCTCAGGTTGGCGCAATGCTTCTCAAACTTGATATTATATTTCCACAATGGTGTTCATTCCACTTGATTTAATTCAGTCCTGCCTGATGAACGTGTGCTGATAGGACGTTTGAGTTGACACCAGCCCGTCGTTATTTTTTCATCAATATTGTTGTCCAGTTTATCGCATTTGTTGGTCTATTTGCCTGTAGTATTCATATTGTCTCACACATCACTGACTACAGACACCTTTGAAGACTGCGCTTTTGTTGGCTACGTAAATATTCACATCACTGAATTATTCAACTTCATTCTGTCGCATTTTCTCATTGACCACACGTATTCGAGATGGTGATCGGAACTCACTGACCACTACTACCGATCCGTCTTGTGTGTGCACCACTCAGAACATTTTGTGATTAATTCCAGTTCCCCGTTACTGACAGTATTGTCTGCTAGAATGAGTGGATTTATCATTGAATAACCTGAGGGAGAGTTCATTGAAAACCATTGTTCACCGTAGTTATTCTTCTTCCGAATAAATCATGAGGATACTGAACAAAAGACAACAGGATGAAACTTATTTTGGTGCAAGTGAATCAGATGACTAAAAATTATTGACTTTAGAAAGCCCGAAGTCCTAGCTGATATTTCGATACTTTACAAGTGGTGAAAGCATCGTGATTCATCGACACTTTCTTTTCACATTCCTACTAAATCACTAATAACTCTAATTATTTGCATTCATTCACACAATCTCCACCGTGCACCCTATCCCCTTGTGAATGTTCACGATTTTCTTTTCTCTGTCAGTTCCGAGAGTTGCAAAGGTTGAATTCGAACCGTTGTCAAATAGAAATCAATTGGTGAAATGGACGTTGGAAGGTTCTCCGTGCCATCCCAGTGACAGTGTTATCATATTCGAAGGACAAGCTGATGAATCTCTGGAAATGACCATTGTTCCTATTGAAAGTGCAGTACCTACGAAAATAAGAAACTCGAAGGACGTTGTCATCATTTTGGCAGTTCTCCATGAAGAAAGATTCTCTCTGCCGACTCTAGGTAACTGATTCAATAATTTACAAAATTGTGTGTGAAACCTAAATTATTTCAATGCTAACATTATCTATGATATAGTTAGTTAGTGTGCATGACGCGTAATTTTGTCGACTACAGCACAACAGATTGATTTTCCCTGGTGTGTACATAATCAATGCACTCATGCGAAAATGGTGGGCATCTCTCAAAAATGAAGTCGATTGTAACGATCACCACTGAGAAACCAAATGCACAGACAGAATAACTAGACATGGAAACGGAGATAAAGGTGACATATTGAAAAAGGAATAAGTGTTGGTTCGCAGGTATTTGATTGGTCACAGGACTGATCGCTGGTTGTCATCACTCGAGGAACCGTTGGGAAACCTGGGAGTAGTGGACAGCTGTTTCCTCCGAGTTTGACGCTCTTCATTAGTACGCACTCACCAGGGGTCGACTGAGGGACTTCTGGTTTCTGCACTCACACGTTCTTCAATCCTCCTCTAATTGATGTCGACTAGTGGTCACACATGCAATACGTCAAAATCCTACAAGCCGAAACTCCACAATGAATCTGATGCTCACTACCGACTGGCTCTACACTGGAAGTTCTGGAGTGGTATTGAGATGTTGTGACCGGTGCAGTCCACGAATTCACGTAAGGAAGAACAGATACTGGCCTACGTCTTTGGTTGGTGGTTGTGATGTACATCAATCGCGATTTGTCAGAAGTTGGACACAGTCGGAGTGGCTGAATAGCAAACAGTCAATTTTGTGGATAGATAGTTGAAGTTCCACAGACAACAAATGTAATGTCAAACAGAGTAAGAGTGAAAAGCACCACAAATAGCGGCCACGAGAATAGAACGAGGCTATTGAATGTGAGAAAAGTCGGCGAGAAGTGACAGTTAGGACGAGACGAAAACAACCATGAAGGAATTCTGAACCTTGCAATCTGATAGAGGAAAAGAGAAGGAAGAGTGAAAACATCAGCTGAAAAAATACTGGAAAAATTTGTCGTGAGCAATAGTCAAGGTGTTGTGTAAGAAATTATGCCGCGAACAGACTATAATAATGTTGCAGAGGACTAAGACAGGGGAGACCAGAGATACGACTTCACAGATTACAGAATGAATAAAGCTATTCCAATACGATTTCACGGAGCACACAAAATGAAAGCAGAATAAATCGAAACGAGTTGAAAACAAAGACTGCACAGGGAAGTGAAGAGAAATTACAAAATTGAAACCGGAAGACAGTAACTAAATGGTCATCGATAGGAGAAAATTCCACAAAACATGCCCAACAAAATAAAATCCAGAAAGTAAAGGTGGAGGAGTAAGTGAAAATTCTCGACAAGCAAAGAAGGAACCACAAGTATTGAAACAAGGAAAAACATAATATGTAGGAGAAAAAAATAAGAATAATTCAAAGTCCTTCACAAAAAGAATATCACAAGTAACACACAACGCGACAACCAAACTCTCTCCGAGTGTACGTGTTTGTTGTATGAAATGTGAGTGGGCGATCATACTCACTGAATCATCACTCGCCGACACTTCACATCTCGGCCGAAATCGCCATCAACAAATGTCAGCCAGGATTGACATTCATTCACCTGTCGTCGTCTCCGTTGTCACGATGAGGAAGAGTGTAGTGTATATTGATTGACACGCTGCCGACTCATTCACTACACTTGCCACACTGCTTTCTTTTTCAGAATCCCCAAAGGCTGAGATAATCGAGGAGGAGGAAATCGTACCGGCGTCGTCAGGTGAGTATATTTCACACTCACACTCGATTCCGTGCATAACATCGGTCACTGTACACACACACAGACACACTCATGCACGAACACACAGTACTCCAGCCTGTATCATCCTTGAAATGCGCACACCACTTGACTACAGACAACACTCACAATCACTGGTGTCATGCACGCCTTCAAAGTGTCAGAGTGAAATCCACAATGACACACGCCCACATGTTGAGTGGATGAGGTGGGAAGACATGTGACTCATTGGTTGTGGCCCTCATGGATTGAAGTTGTTGAGGGTCATCCGACTGTCGTGAGGTCTGCCTACCATGTGAATCGTGCATGTGACGAACTCGACGACGACGACTGTGTGTGTTTGTGGGTGTGTGTGGGTTTGTGTGTGCGCACATGACTGAAGTCGACAGATTTGCACAGACTTCATTCACAATGACATCGTGCAATTCGATGATGTTCTTGAGAGACAGAATTTGATGCGTGGAGTGACGTTAGCAGTGATGAGACACCAGTGTGAGTTGGCGATCAATGTAAGTAACAGCGATCACGACATGCAAAATCTCTCCGAGTGTACGTGTTTGTTGTATGAAATGTGAGTGGGCGATCATACTCACTGAATCATCACTCGCCAACACCTCACATCTCGGCCGAAATCGCCATCAACAAATGTCAGCCAGGATTGACATTCATTCACCTGTCGTCGTCTCCGTTGTCACGATGAGGAAGAGTGTAGTGTATATTGATTGACACGCTGCCGACTCATTCACTACACTTGCCACACTGCTTTCTTTTTCAG